CCCCAAAACCCCAAAACCCCGCTCAAAAAATAAAAATTTGTTCAGAATAACATATTAAATAAAAAATTTCAATATTTTCTCTAATAATCAAAACGTTATCAAATAGCCTGGATATGATTTTTGATTATCGTATACAACAAAATGTCCTCCAATTCCATTGTTGAATGAATCATATAATACACCTGATTTGCCAGGTATTGCAGCAGGCATTCTTGCCCCTTACCCTCCACCTAAACTAGATGATAATCCTGTTATGACAGCACATAAAAACATCTATCTAGCTCCATTCATTTAGCCAAAGCGATTGTTGGGTATTTATTACTATTGAATGATATTTGGATTATTGTAAGCATATCCAGTTGAATATTAAGAGTTATCTGCAAAATAAAGTCCAATACCTTGAGCTCCATTATTACTAAATCTCATATCAAGACCACTCTCAAATGAATAAACTGTCTAAGGATCACTTTATCTTGTACCATGAAAGAGATGCTTCACTAAGTCCAACCCATACAATAATGGATGCTTTTGACATATTCTCTCAAATTCACTTCTAACAGTCTGATAAATTTATTTGTTGTAGATTTTCTTGATCTCGATAATCTTCGTCAGGTCAACCTAATTGATTTCTTAATTCATTATGTTTATAGAGGCCTATACATCATCCAATCTTGGATCTCTACCTTAAAATGTTTACAGGAACTTGAAAGCCACATATTTAAACTCAAAGCTTTCTCGACTAAGAACTTCAGTGCAGGTAAATTCATTTATTTGTTAGTATTTTGGGTCAGTAGAATTTTCTGGAAACTTAAAAGTCTCAATTATGTTCCACTAAAATTTTTATTTTTCTTATTTGAACTGATAGTTGTAAATGTTCTAGCTAATGGGATCTACAGCAAAGGGAAACTGATTAACTTAGCAAGAGAAAACTTATTTCTTTTAGCCGACTGATACCCATTCGCAAACATCTACATTTTACAGTTTGCTTTTATCATATATCTCATTTAGCTTTGCTGTAAAATCATTTGCCTATAAAACCGTAACTTTTTCTCTAGCTTTATTTACATAATAGGACCATTATCTCAAGCCTTAAATTTCTACTGTGAGTTCTGGTAATCTTGACTTTGGCTTCAAGAAATAAACTTACAAAAAATCTTTACCATCATTCATTTACTCTAAAATCAGCACTTTTAATTCATCTGATTCTAAATAGAACATAAAATTAGTCTAAACTGTGTTATTTTTTAATGACTCAAGTAGTTTCACTTGTGTAACTATCAAGAATTCAGCAATATTTTAATCTTAGAGATGATTTTAGTAGTAATGATGAATCTGGGCATGTTTTTCTCCTCCAAAGCAGAGATAATTTGCTTATTGATCTTAGATGTAGAATAAATCAGGCTTCTCAAAAATATCAAATTTATCGTCAATTGGGCCTTATATAGTGAGAAGGCCTTCATAATTAAATCTAACTTGAGAGGAATTAATCGCATATATATGCTGCAACTTTTCTTACTTCATTTGGGATATGTCAAAAACTTACTCTTCAAACTTCTACAAAAATATCTTTTCATCACTTTAAAATGAGTCTTAGGCCTTATCCTACTAATTGAAATTGACTCCTTCACCTGTTGAAGTATGCCATTCATACCATTTAGTCATTAGATCAAGTCCATTGAATATTTGGCGCAGTTCATCGATTGAGTTATTTGCATTTCTACCCTCATTATCAAGATCGATAACTTCAGTTCTTAAGTCATCTATAAAGTTCTGCTTGAAAGTATCTTATCCTTTTAGTTGAATTGTTTTATCTTTTAAAATGCTCCACAACTCTTCTAGTATGAACTCCTCTATCATGCTGTTTTCCATTTTGCAAATGATTTTAGTATAATCAATAATTATTAATATTTGCAACAAAAAATCTGCAAAATTAGCGTTCTAGGGGTTTTGGGGTTTTGGGGTTTTGGGG